CTCTCTCTCTCTCTCTCTCTCTCTCTCTCTCTCTCTCTCCTCTCTCTCTCTCTCTCTCTCTCTCTCTCTCTGTTTTATAGAAAGTATTTAATATAAAAAAAATACTGAATATATTTGAGAAACATGTATATAGATTTAATTTTACAGATAGTATATGATATCATATTTGTAAGATAATGAAAATTATATAAAAATGATACAATTACTTTTAATAGAATTTTTATGTAACATTTTTATGTAATATTTATATAATTTATCTTAAATATACACACAAATATATATATACATACATGTTTAAAAAATATACATTTATATTCCCAAAATCTACATGATCCGGATATGCTGTCTCAATACATATATTTAGTCTCTTATATTAAATTATTGATTTTAATATGTTATTCAAATCTCATTTCGTTCCCTTTTCCACACAAACTGATTATTGTAGCAGAAAAATTATGTGACTTTAATTCGTCTATAAGTTTAGCAAGATCATCGTCTATGAAGTTCGGTGGTAGTACAATAAAGGCGTATCCATAATTCTGTGCAATTGCACAAATAATGTCTGCGTTTGGATGCGACGCTCCCAATGCACTTAATAATCCTTGATTTATATGAATAAGATTCTGTGAAGTATACATTAAAAGATAATTAAAATTTTCATAGAGAAAATCTGTTTCGTACAGAACATCTGTATAAGAATCACTAAGAGACAACCATAAAAAAATTAATAAATATGTGAAAAAAAATATTAATAAAATATTAATATTATTAAAAGAGATTTACCGCTAATTTCCCGTAGTAGTGTTTTCTGTAATTGCTGGGTAGGATAAGGCTTATATCAGTCTCAATATCATGAATTAATGATATTTTGAAATTATTTAGCTCCTGTACTAAATTATTTAACATTTCAATACATGTTTCCGATAATTTGTCAATATTATCTATGATAGATTTGATAAACAAATATCTTATTATCTCGAGTCGTTTGTTTTGTACGGTTCTCTGTCTAACATTCGGGGAAACCAGCAAAATCTTTATGCTTGGAATGGCTCCATGTAACGTTCTACATTCCTTTCGGCATATAATTATCATACTCTTAACGGATGCGGCGATGCTGGCTGAGTTCGAAGAATCGAATAGAAACTTATCAAATATGCTAGAGCAATGTACAATTTTTGAATGATCTTCCAGGTCAAGCACATTGCATATTCCATTCTGTAAAAGAGACCATTGCAAAAAGCATGCCGCAAGACATACTAAAAATGACGCCGAACTATCCAGACCCTCACCGATCGGCAATTCTGATGAAATTTTCACGACAAAAGATGTTGTTATGTGGAATTATTGATGGAATAACGATGAACGATGAGAACAAGTAACGAAAAGAAAGCTCCTAAATTTGAAAAATGTTCACGATTGTCGCGATTGTATGTGCCGGTGTACGTCGTCAACGACTTGACGAACTGTCTTACTTTTTCGCATGATATATTTGTATATCAGTCAAATGTGTAGATTTAATTTTATTAAATAATTGAAGGAATATGTATAAAGGTATATATCTTCATGTGTAATTTAATACGCGAGAAATTCAGCTCAATAAATTTCGCTTCAACACTTGATGTAACAAAGAAAACGTAGGTTTGATACGCATGTTTAAGGTGGCTAACAATAGCAGTTCCGTCATAATTCGGTACGGGATCTCCATGTAAATACACTGCGCCTGATGCGGATATAATGAACTTGTACATGCCTTTTATAAAAAATAATTTCAAGTCTAGAAAACTGTGAGTATTGCTGAATAATACAGATTGTTAGGAAATTGTATTATATACTCGTAAATCTCACAGATAAATGTTGAAGCGGGAAGATTTACAAACTATTTATTACTCTTCTGTATTAAAGCTGCATCAAAAAGAACATAAATTACATCGTGCAACAAGACTAATTTGTCGTTATTTGTTAATGACAGTCATGCATAAAAAAATTTGATAAGATTCAGCTTCTCGTTCTTTTTTGTGTTATTTATAAGATATCATAGATTTTGTCCACTTCTTTCTGTATTTAAATTAAACATTTTCTATCACCGAAGTATTTTGTTACGAAGTTTCTATTAAGATTGTAAATTAAGATTGTAATGATAAAATATGATATACGTAATATGATATACGAATATAATATACGTACTTATTTTGTAATTCGATATGTTATGAATAACAGAAAAAATTGTCAAATCGAAAAAACTCTAATTAAAACTTATTAATTAGATATACAATTATTGGATTGAACTATCTTCTTCTTCAACACACAATATGCTGAGGATTATGTCTTTTCGAAACGGCAGTTAAGGTGTCACAGAAAAAAAAGAATTTCTTTTCATAATATCAGTTTAACAAATGTGTTAAAACGAAATACACATAAACATTCATACATACATAGACTAAGAAATAGAAACATTAACATATATTTGATTTAAATAATAATTAAATTAGAATATATTCGCTATAATTTATATATATATAAAAATTATAGCGAATATATTCTAATTTAACTATTATTTAAATCAAATATACATATATACTACACACACACACACACACACACACACACACACACACACACACACACACATTTAATAAAATGTACTGTATTTATATTCCAAGAATCTACATATATCGGATATACCTGTCTTAATAGATTGCATATTTAGTCGCTTATTAAGTTGTTGACTTCAATATGATTCAACTCTCATTCCATTCCATTTTCCACACAAATTAGTTACCGTAGCGGAGAAATTATAAGATTCTAATTCGTTTATAAGTCTAAAGAGATCATTATCCATGAAATTCGGTGGTAGTACAATAAATACATATCCACATCTGCCTCTATATGTCATCTTCCCCCTTAGTGAATAATTTTGTGCAATTGCACAAATAATGTCTACGTATGGATGTGAGGCTCCCAATGCATTTAATAATCCTTGATTCAAGAGAATAAGATCCTGTGGAATTACGTTAAAAAATAATTAAAATTTTCGCAGAGAAGCAGAACATAAATATCCGTATATAAACTTCTGAGAAGCAACCACGTATAAATACATAAATATGTACAAAAAAATATTGAAATTTATCAAAAGAAATTTACCAGTAATTTCTCATAATGGTCCTTTAGTTCAGAAGGCTCAAGCTCATCAACATTTTGAAATAATTTTCTCGTATCCTGATCCATTTTCCAATCACATAACATTTCAACAAATGTTTTCGATAATTCGTCGATGATATTCATGATGGGTTGAATAAACGAATATAAATGTCTGATTATATCAAATTTTCTGTTTTGCACGATTTTCCGTCTAGCATTCGAGCAAACCAACAAAATCTTTATGCTTGGATAATCTTGATATATCCAATCGACATATGTCCCTTCTGTGGTCTTTCCATATATAACTATTGTACCTTTAATGCATGCAGAAATGCTGATTGACGACGAAGAATGGAATATAAATCTTTCGCAAATGCTACAGTAATGCATGATTCTTAAGCGCTCTTCCGATTCAAATTCATAAGAGCTTATTCCTTTCTGTAAGAAAGACCATCGCAAGAAACATGCTGCAAGACATACCAAAAACGATGCCGAACTACCGAGACCCTCACCGATCGGCAGTTCTGATGAAATTTTCACGACAAAAGATGTTGTTATGTTGATAGAATGTCGGTGAGCGATTAAAACAAGCAACGAAAAGAAAGCTTGTAAACTTGAGAAATGTTCACGATTGTCGGAATTATACGTGCCAATGTACACCAACGTGCTGAGGAACTTTCTTACTTCTCTGCATATTATTAAATCATTATTTATAGATTTGATTATATCGAAAAGATGAAGATATGCAAGTAAAGGTATCTTCATGTATAATTGGATATCCGGGAAATTCAGTTCGATAAAATTCTTTTTAACTGCGTTTGGTAAAAACGAAGAAAATGTAAGCTTGGTACGCATGTTTAAACCGGCTGCAATAGTACTTTGGTTATACTTCGGTATGGGATCTCCATTTAAGAAAACCACGCCTGGTGCGGATATATTGAATCTGTACATGCCTTTAAAAAAAAATAATATCGAAAAAAATAATATCTAGAAAACTTTGGTACTGCTGAATACTAGAGATCGTTAGAAAATTGTATACATACCTGCGAATCTCGCAAATAAATATTGAAATGAGAAGACAAATTGCTAACAAATTATATTATGACTGTTCTGTGTTATCTCGAATCAAAAAGATCATAAATTATCCTATGCGACAAGAATAACTCATCATTACTTGTTAATGACAGTCATACATCATTACGTATCATACGTCAAAAGAAATCTAATAAGATTCAGTTTCTCGATTTGCTGTTTACAAGATATCATAGGTTTTGACCACTTCTTTCTGTATTTAAATTAAACATTTTCTGTTGAAGTATTTTGTCACAAAGTTTATGTTAAAATTTTAATTACGATAAAATATGATATACATACCTATTTATAATGTAAAAATGTTATTTTCAGATTATATTGATATTGATGATATTATAAACAATATAACAGAAAAAAATTTTCCTTAAGATCGAAAGTAATTAAAACTTATTAATTAGTACAACAATTATTGAATTGATCTATCGTCTTCTTCGACACACAATGTACTGAGGATCATGTCTTTTCAAAACGACAGTTAAGTTGTCATAGAAAGGAACAATTTTTTTCATAATATCAGCTTAATAAACAATTTTTTTTATTTAGACATAGATATAAACACAGTTTCTAATATCGTTGTAGCATTCAACGTGATTTAAATAATAATTAAATTAGAATATGCTATAATTTATATATACATGTAAAGATTCTCATAATAGATATAAAATTACCATTTTTTAATAAAAATTTTACAAAAGGTTATCTCAAAGTGAATAAATATTTTCGTATTTGATTTCGTAATTCGAGAAAAGAAGTGAGAGAATGCACAGAAATAAAATTTATCCAATGTAATTATTGATTAAAAACTATTATATCACAGTACTCTATATTTAATATGCAGATCGAAATTTTGTTAATAAAAAACATTCTAACATGAAATGCTTCAGTAATTAAATTTTAAATAAAAATTTGCAATAAGATCCCTTTTAGTTACTAAATTACTAACTAATTTCTTATAACTTTTCCATTTTGGTAGTTTCTATAATCATTTGTTTAAATAAAAATTGATTTTTCCAATTACTATGAAGAACGTCTAGTATAAAGAAGATATAGACATAATAAAATGACATTCATTAGAAATAAATTTAGATTTGTACAAACAATATTCAGATTCTTATGTATTTAATCTTTGATTAATATAAATGATATCTGCGAAGTGTATGTTAAGATATGATTAAAGTTTTTAAACTGATGAATCCGCATAAAGTGTCTAAGAAACGTAAAAGCACGTGTAACAAAATACTATTGAAGTTTGAAAATAAGATAATTTAATAATTTTGATAATAAGATGCGCACGTATTCGCATATACGTACACGCACGTGCACACATATACACGCACATACACATCATATTATATATATATATATATATATATATATATATATATATATATTTGTTTTTTATTTAAATCTATCGACTTTTTTCCAATCCGATTAAATTTCTTTTGATATTGTAAAGATTAGACGTATAAATGGTGAATTTCACTTTTAAGTTACATAAATAATTGTTTGACATTGTTATAAGATTTATACTTAGTTATTTTGTCTTTGTGAAAAATAAGCATTGCATGCTACAAAAAAATATGATGTAAAAGGTAAAAAAGATGGGCATAAATACCGATACGTATTATTTCTAAAACAAATCGTCGACAGTATTGCCTTACTATAACTTCATAATATATAGTGTCAAGTATTATATAAAATCAGAATGTTATTTCTTTTAATTAATTAATTTTTTTCTTCAAGTACGGTAAAGATCTGCAAAGTTGCCTTCACTAGTGTGAGTGTAAATAAAAAGTAACATGTTATTAGTGCATAATGTATTTATTCTGTATCAAGATTTGATTTATATAAAAAATATATATATATCTGAAAGATATAGAATTAAATTTTGAGTCAAAGTTTGTAATGTATAATATATCGTTGTGTATAATAAAAAATAACGCTATTATAATATAGCTATTTTTATTAATTTATTATTTTATTAAATGAAGAAATATATTTTTATATTTAATCTAGGTATTCGCAATTGGTCGGATATGATCGCATATGGATAATATCGCTAGGCTGGCACTTGTAGAACGCAAGCGCCTTTATTTTGTACGAGACACTATCACTATCTCTTGTCTATTAAACTTCGTAAATATAATATATGAAACTATATATTTTTTTTCATATCTTTCGTTTGTCGTTGCATCTACTTAATAATATTCGCACATTCTAGGAATATAAATTTCGTATATACTTTGATATATTTTTTTATGTTATATAAAAAATGTACTAAGTAGATCTAATTTTTTCTTTTCCTTATACTTCTTTTCTCTCTATCTCTATAAGATTATTTTAATATATGTTGTATATCTGAGAAATACATTTATTTCTTAGTATAAAAGCATATACCTAACATAAAATATTTGGAATATACAACTGTTTCAAATAGAGTTTCATATATAATTTGAATGTAATTTGTGATATAATTTATATCTAGAATATAATTC